GCTTTAAAGTTCTGTATATATTTTAGATATTAATCCCTTATCAGGTATATAATTTGCAAATATTTTCTTCCATTCTGTGGGTTGCCTTTTTGCCCTGTTAACATTGTTTTTGATGCACCTATGTAAAAAATAATTACATATTGGCACCTATGTATAAAATAATTTGGCTGTATATGAGAGGGTTTATTTCTGGGCTCTTCATTTTATTCCTCTGGTCTATATGTTTGTCTTTATGCCAGTACTATGGTATTTTGGTTACTGTAGCTTTGTAGTATGTTTTGAAATCAGGAAGTATGAGTCCTCCAGCTTTTGTTTTTTCCTCAAAATTATTTTGGCTATTCAGAGTTCCTTCAGATTCCATATGAATTTTAGAATGGAATTTTCTGTTTCTGCAAAAGCCTCACAAGGATTTTGATAGGGATTGCACTGAATTGGCAGATCACTTTGGGTAGTATTGACATCTTAACAATTTAAGTCTTCCAGTCTATGAATATGAGATATGCTTTCATTTACTTATGACTTTTTTTTTTTTTTTTTTTTTGAGACAGAGTCTCCTCACCCAGGCTGATGTACAGTAGAGCCATCTGGGCTCACTGCAACCTCCACCTCACGGATTCAAGTGATTTTCCTGCCTCAGCCTCCTGAGTAGCTGGGATTATAGGTGCCTGCGACCACGCCAAGCACATTTTTGTATTTTTAGTAGAGATGGGTTTTCACCATGTTGGTCAGGCTGGTCTTGATCTCCTGACCTCAGGCAATCTGCATGCTTCAGCCTCCCAAAGTGCAGGGATTACAGGCAAGAGCCACTGTGCCTGGCCTTACTTATGTCTTACTTTCTTTCATTAATGTTTTGTAGTTTTTAATTGTACATGTCTTTCACCTTCTTGGTTAAGTTCATTCCCAGTTTTTGTTTCTATGCTATTGTAAATGAAATTGTTTTGTAATTTTCTTTTCAGATTGTTCATTGTCAGTGTATAGAAATGCAACTGGTTTCTATGTGTTGACTTTTTAACCTGCTACTTTGCCTAATTAATTTATGAGCTCTAACAGGTTTTTTGGTGTGGAATATTTAGGTTTTTTACACTTAAGATTATATTATCTGCAAACAGATATAATTTATACCTCTTCCTTTCTGACTTGGATGTCTTTTATTTCTTCTTCTTGCCTAATTGTTCTGGTTAGAACTTCTAGTACTAGGTTAAACAGAAGTAGAGAGAATGGTCTTTTTTAATGGTCTTTTTCTTTTTTTGAGATGGAGTCTCACTCTGTCACCCAGGCTAGAGCACAGTTGTGTGATCTTGGCTCACTGCAACCTCTGCCTCCTGGATTCAAGTGATTCTTCTGCCTCAGCCTCTGGAGTAGCTGGGGATTATAGGTGTATTCCACCATGCCTGGCTAATTTTTGTATTTTTAGTAGAGACGCATTTCACCATGTTTGCCAAGCTGGTCTTGAACTTCTGACCTCAGGTGATCCACCTGCCTCAGCTTCCCATTGTGCTGGGAATACAGGCCTGAGCCACTGCACCTGGCTGCGAATGGGCATTTTTGTTATTTTCCTCATCTTAGGGAAAAAAGCTCTTTGACTTTCACCATTGAGTATGATGTTTGCTCTGGATTTTTCATATATAGCTTTTTTCTGTTTTTGGTTTGTTGAGTGCTTTTGTCATGAAAAGGTGGTGAATTTTGTCAAATGCTTTTTCTGCATCAATTGAGATCATTGTGTAGTTCTTTCCCCCTTTCATTCTGTTAATGGAGTATATTAAATTGATTGATTTTCTTTTCTTTGAGACAGGGTCTCACTTTGTTGCCCAGGTTGGAGTAAAGTGGCACAGTCATAACTCACTACAGCTTCAACATCCCAGGCTTAAGTGATCTTTCCACCTCAGCCTACAGACCAGCTGGGACTATAGGGTGTGCTACCATGCCCAGCTAATTTTTTTTTTTTTGAGTCTCACTCTCTCGCCCAGGCCGAAGTGCAGTGGCACGATCGTGGCTCACTGCAACCTCTGCCTCTCAGGTTCAAGCAGTTGTTCTGCCTCGGCCTCCCTAGTCTGGGTTTATGGGTGCCTGCCACCACACTTGGCTAATTTTTTGTATTTTAATAGAGATGGGGTTTCACCATGTTGGCCAGGCTGGTCTTGAACTCCTGACCTCAAGTGATCCACCCACCTCAGCCTCCCAAAGTGCTGAGATTACAGGCATGAGCCACCACACCCAGCCACACTGAGCTAATTTTTTATTTTTAGTAGAAATGGGGTTTCACCGTGTTGGCCAGGCTGATTTCAAACTCTTGACTTCAAGTGATTCTCCTGCCTTGGTATCCCAAAGTTTTGGGATTACAGGTATGAGCCACTGTGTTTAGCCAGTTGATTTTCATATGTCGAACTGTCCTTGCATTCCAGAAATAAATCCTACTTGCTCATAGTGTATAATCCTTTTACTATGCTGCTAAATTCAGTTTGCTAATATTTTGCTGAGGATTTTTGCACACATGTTCATTAGGGATATTGATATGTAGTTTTTTTTTCTTCTAGTGTTTTTGGATTTGATATTAGGGTAATGCTGGCCTCATAGAATGATATAGAAAGTGTTTCCTCCTCTTTAATTTTTAAAGAAAAGTTTGAGAAAGATTGGTATTAATTGTTTAAATGTTTGGTAGAATTTATTAGTGAAGGCAACAGGTCCAGAACCTTTCACTGTAGGAAGATGTTTGATTACTGATTCAGTCTCCTTACTAGTTATCAGCCTATTCCTATTTTCTGTCTCTAATGATTTAGTCTTGGTAGGTTTTGTGTTTCTCATAATCTTTCCATTTTACCTAGGTTATCCTTTGTTGACATACAATTGTTCTTTTTATTTCTGTAGAGCTGGTAGTAATGTCTCTGTTTTCATTTTTGATTTTAGTAATTTGAGTCTTTTTCTCTTTTTTCTTAGTCCATCCAGCTAAAGGTTTGTAAATTTTGTCAGTCTTTTCAAAGAGTCAACTTTTGGTTTTATTACTTTTCCCTTTTGTTTTACTATTTTCTGTTTCATTAATCTCTGTTCTAATCTTTGTTATTTTCTTCCTTCTGCTAGCATTAGGTTTAGTTTGTTCTTTTTTTTTCTAGTTTTTTGTTTGTAAAGTTAGGTTGTTGATTTGAGGTCTTTCTTATTTCTAAATTTAAACATTTAGAGTTATAATTTTTCCTTTTACCACTACTTTTGTTATGTCCCATAAGTTTTGGTTGGTTGTGTTTTTGTTTTAGTTTTTCTGTAGTCTTAAATTTTTGTTGCAATTTTTTCTTTGATCTATTTGGTTATTTATTTACTGTATTTTTTTTTTTTTTTTTTGTATTTTTAAAAAATAGAGGTGGGGTCTCACTATGTTGCCCAGGATGGTCTTGAATTCCTGGGATCAATTGATTAACTTACCTTGGCCTCTCACAGTGCTGGAATTACAGGCTTGAGCTATTGCACCAGTCTATTGATTATTGATGCATTGTTTAATTTCCACAAACTTAGGAATTTTCCAGTTTTGCTTCTGTTATTGATTTCTAACTTCATCCTATTGTGGTTAGAGACGATGCTTTATATAATATCTATCTTTTAAAATGCATTGACACTTAATTTGTGGCCTAATGTATAGTCTATTCTGGAAAATGTCTTGTGCACTTCAGAAGAATGTATATGCTGTTGTGTAAAGTGTTCTGTATATGTTTGTTAGGTCTAGTTGGTTTATTATGTTGTTTAAGTCCTCTGTCTCCTTACTTATCTTCTGTGTGGTTGTTCTATCCATTATTATTATTATTGTTATTTTTTATTTATTATTATTGAGACAGGGTTTTGCTCTGTTGCATAGGCTGAAGTGCAGTGGCAGGATCATGGCTCACTGCAGCCTTGACCTCCTGGGCTCTAGGAATCCTCCCACCTCAACCTCTTGAGTAGCTGAGACTATAGGCATGTGCCATCATGCCCAGCTAATTTTATTTTTGTAGAGACAGGGTGTCAATATGTTTCCCAGGCTGGTCTCAAACCCCTGGGCTTAAGCAGTCCTCCCACTTCAGCTTCTCAGAGTGCTAAAATTATAGGTATGAGCCACTGTGCCTGGCTATGTTACTAAAACTTTCTGAATTTCAGATTTTTATCTATAAAATGAGACTGTCCACAGATATAGGACTGTTTTCTTTCTTTCTTTCTTTTTTTTTTTTTAAAGACAGGTTTTCACCATGTTGGTCAGGCTGGTCTTGAACTCCCGACCTCAGGTCGCCTTGGCCTCCAAAGTACTTGGATTACAGGCGTGAGCCACCATGCTTGGCCAGGACTGTTGTAAAGATGAATTGAAATAAAATATTTTATTTTAGGATGCTTTTGGTTATAAGAAACAGAAAACTCCATTCGAAATTTAGTTCAATGAGAAAATTCACTATACCACATATTAAAAATTTCTAAGGAAGACTAATTCCAGTATTGGTTAGTTTAGTGGCTCAAAAATGTTATCTAGAATCCAGAATCTTCTTTCTTCTCTGCCATGTTTGGTGTGACAAATTTTGTCCTTTGCCAAGCCATCTGCTCTTATGATCACAAAATGGCTGCTGTAATTCCAGACATCACATGTAGCTGCAAGAAAACGAGTGTGCTTTTTCTCATGTCTCTCTCTCTCTTTTTCTGTGAGAGTCATTGGTATTCATCTACACTCTCAGATGTCTCTACTAACACAGGCTTCATCAGAGGCATCACATAGCTCTTTTTAAGAGCATGAACCCTTTCCTTTTGGAATCTCTTCTTCTGCTCCCACCCCCCAACCATGTTATACAGTTTTGTCTAATTAATCACTGGCAAGAGGACTGGAACCACCCTGCAGATCTTAGACCAATCAGGTTTTACTGCTGTGGAAACTTGGGAGGAAGTCTCCTTCTGTGACACTTGTGAGGAAATATGAATGCTGCTAGTTCAACACTGGACTTCTTTACCACAGAAGGAGGGGAGATCTGTTGGGTAGGCACTTACAAAAGTATCATGTGATCTTTTTGTAGTTCATAAGCATGATAATTGGACTTTTAGGCTCATGTGTGAGATGTACCTCCCTGAAACCTTGTTATGATGTTGACACATTACCCGTCTGACATGAACTTTCAAAAAAGTTCTAAAAAAGAAAAAGGACAAAGAATAAAATAAAATTTAAAAGATCCTACAGAATATGTGCCAAGTGCCCTGCATAGAGCCTGGCAGCTGCGTGAGCTCTGTTCCCTTCCACCCATTTGTATGAATGAGGCGAGGTGGCACATTTTGATTAGTTGTTTCCAATTATGGGTTGTTTTAAAAAAAAATATATTGTGATGCCTTCATGAAACCCAAAAACTCAATGAAAAAACAATAAGGCTAGAAACCCTGGAAACCACGTCTCAGGCCATTTTTTTTCAAGAGGGTTGTACAAGCCTTTTTTTTTTTTTTTTCTTTTAAAGATAGGGTCTCACTATGTTACCTAGGTTGGTCTTGAACTCTTGGGATGAAGCAATTCTCCTGCCTCAGTCTCCCAAGTAGCTGGGACAACAGGTGTACACCACTGTGCCTAGTGGTTTTGTAAGTCTTGCAAAACAACTTTAGTTACTTAAAAGTACTTGGTGATATGCGAGCAAATAAACATAGTTTTCAAATACGACATTCCAGGCAAGCTCTTGATTATATAACCAATGTTTTCAATGAAGTCCTAGTAAAATTAAGTCCCAGATGTGTCCTTATTGCATCTATGGAAATAACTATATTGGTATGAAAAGAAGAATATTCATTAAGTGTTTCCAGGTTCTTGAGAGATTAGGCAGAGAGGATGTGATAAATTTACAATTGTTTCATTTCCATTTACAGAAACAGAGTCTACTAAATTGTTATGGGTTATAGATAAAAAAGAAAGGGCTTTTGTATCTATCCTGAAAATAGCATATTAAAACATCAATAATCTCGCAGCTGGAGATGCTGAGGAAGAATAAAAATAATTTTGTAAAAAGAAAAAAAAATCAGTAATATTCCATCCCCCCCGACAATAAACTACAATCATTCTTCATCAGTTCATTTAGCCCTATATAATTAATTCTTCTTTCACTGGATCTCGGGTTAGCATTTTCATGAATCCATTTGTTTCTTGCCTACAGTTCTGAAAATCCTTAGTTTGCTGGTATGGTCTCAAAATTGTTTAAGTGATGCCATTAGCAGCACATACCCCAAAATACCCAGCATAGTCCTTTTCCATGGGTCTCTGAGACAGTCCTTTGTTGAAGAGGAAATATTTTCAAGGAAGAATCAGAGTAAAACAAAAAACTATCTGTAGATGACAAAAGGCTTAAAATACTGTGGTTAATTTAGTACTCATAATTTTCAAAAGCAAAAGTTCTGATAAGAATTTATTCCAATAAAAATGCAACTGATAAGAAAATTTGGTTGCTTCTGTGGCATGCCAAAAAAAAAATAAAGTCAATTCAAAAATAATTTCAGATAACATAATTATAAACATAATGATTAGCCCTATTTTCAAAGAAGACAGACTAGGTGCGGTGGCTCACTCCTGTAATCCTAGCACTTTGGGAAGCTGAGGCAGGCGGATCACCTGAGGTCAGGAGTTTGAGACCAGCCTAGCTCTCATGGTGAAACCCTGTCTCTACTAAAAATACAAAAAAAATTAGCCAGGCATAGTGGCACACACCTGTAATCCCAGCTACTCGGAAGGCTGAGGTAGGAGAATCACTTGAACCTGGGATTCGGAGGTTGCAGTGAGCTGGGATCGCACTACTGCACTCCAGACTAGGTGACAGAGCGAATTCCATCACAAACAAACAAACAAAAAACTGCACAAAGAAGAGAACATTACATCTAATGTATAAAAATGGGTGAACGTAATCTTTACAGAGAAAAAAATCTGGAGATATAACATAATAATGCTGAAACATAATATAACATGAATTTGCCAAGTAAAAATCTAACAAAAATATATCAAGAATATCAAGTAAAGAGAGTCTTTGGTCTTCAGTAGATCTTAAACATCTGTTTATTAGTAAAATTCTATATGTGATGTTAATCTCAATTGAAAACCACTACCCTAGAAGACAGTAGATTCAAATTAAGTAAGTAAAGCTGTGATCAGGTTAACACTTAGAAAACAACTGAAATTGGGCCAGGCAGAGTGGCTGTCACCTGTAATCCCATCACTTTGGGAGGCTGAGGCAGGATGATCACTTGAACCCAGGAGTTTGAGACCAGCATGGGTGACAGAGTGAGATCTCATTTCTATTAAAACAAAATAACTGAAATAATGAGTGATAACACTGTAGTGTCATTGTCTACTATGGCAAAGCAGCACTAGAGCCCTAATAAGGAGAAGTGTGTCATCGACAGCAAGGACACTGCAAATCTCTGTGAAATTCCCGTATAGCATACAGTTTCTGAAACATACCAACAACATTTAACCTATACCAATTTAACCTAGGGAAGGCTGAGCATCTCTTCTGATTTGACAAGTCTTTCATGTGGCTTATTGATAGTAGCCCAGCAAGTAAACCTAATCATTTCTAACACCTCTCTTTTTAAAAAGCTAAATAATAAGTCTTTGTGATTTTCCAGGGGCCCCCTAGGAAATCTCAAAATAGTTTTAGTAGAAAAAAAAACCTGAAAGCTTCATTTTATTTTATATTTAGAATTCCATTTTAGGGAGGCAAGAACCAGACACTTTCAGGCAATTTGAATACTTACGAGAGGAATCTGATCTAGGTGTCTAAAAAACTGTTTGGGGGCTGAGTACAGTGGCTCATGCCTGTAATTCCAGCACTTTGGGAGACTGAGGGAGGTGGATCACCTGAGGTCAGGAGTTTGAGACCAGCCTGGCCAACATGGGGTGAAACCCTGACTTTACTGAAAATACAAAAATTAGCCAGGCGTGGTGGTGCATGCCTGTAATCTCAGCTGCTGGGGAGGCTGAGGCAGAAGAGTCACTTGAACTCGGGAGGCGGAGGTTGCAGTGAGCTGAGATCCCACCATTGCACTCCAGCCTGGGCAACAAGATTGAAACTCTGTCTCAAAAGAAAAAGGTTTTGGAAGCAGGCTTACGACCTTTCTCTCCAGTCTGGGCAACAAAGTGAGACTCCATCTCAAAAACAAACAAACAAACAAACCCCAAAACAAAAGAAAAACTAAAACTAAAGTATTTGGCTCCATATTTCTAAGTGACAATAAGGATTTAAAAAGTAAACACAGAAGGTAACATGAGTGTAAGGAGCCTTAGATCTTTCCTAAGTGAGGAACTTTTGTTTTCTTAAATAATCAAGGACATAGTAAAGTCAGCATAAACCATTGAAGGTTATTCCAGTAAAACACAGAATCTTTGCTATCTAGGCCGATTACACAAGAAAAACAAAAAGCCCTTCAGATTACAGATGAAGGCAATAAACAGTAACCAAGGGAACAAGTCTGTCAAAATTGAGCAAAACTTGACATATTTCATAGCCTTTCAGACTCATTGCACAAGCCGTAACCCAAGGCAAACAAAATTATGAGAATAATGAATCAATGAAACACAAATTTATAACTTCTATAATCTTAAGTATTAAGTAGAAGTAATGGTAGCTTGTTCAATCAATAAACCTGTTGAAGTTTAAGAAGAACATACCCAAGTAGAATTAAAATACTAGCTTGTAGGCTGGGTGTGGTGGCTCACATCTGTAATCCCAGCACTTTGGGAGGCCAAGGCAGGTGGATCACCTGAGGTCAGGAGTTTGAGACCAGCCTGACCAACATGTCAAAATCCTGTCTCTACTAAAAATACAAAAATTAGCCAGGCGTGGTAGTGGGTGCCTGTAATCCTAACTACTTGGCAGGCTGAGGCAGGAGAATCGCTTGAACTGGGGAGTTGGAGGTTGCAGTGAGCTGAGATCACGCCATTGCACTCCATCTTGAGATAGAGCAAGACTCTGTCAAAAAAAAAAAATACTAGCTTGTATTATATTTAATGCTGATAAATCAGAATTTAACTAGCTAATCTGTAGCTGTTTTTATTAAACCAAAATTATTTAACTAGTCTTGGTGCTGAAGATTTACTTAAGTCATATAAACTTGAAATATTAAAACATTTCTGTGTTACTTTCTATAAAATTTACATTGAAAATATTAGAAGTTCAATTTCCTTATTTTCTAGCAATTCTAGGAACAATCAATATAAGCACTTATTTATCTCTATAAGCTAATCAGAATAGAGCTCCTCTAATTTCAGAGATTTTATAACCCAATTTATTAATACCAACGAGAGGTGAATTATTACATGAGACTTAAAGCCCTTTCTGAATTACAGAAACATAAGCGTGGAAACAGACAGAGGGAGCTTATAGTTTTAATTCCAGATTTTCAGGTATGAGTCAAAGTAAACATACATTTATAAAACTTATCAGTCAAAGAGCTTTTTCCCTAGTACGTATTGAAGGAGAACAGAGTATACCACTCCAAAATATGCTACTTTGGCATAAGAATTATTTTGAGCTGAAGATAATTAGAAAATAGCTGATACAGGAAAAAGGTCCCTTCTGCTTAAAAGCAGGGCATACATGTCCCCTTTTTGTAAAGTTGTCTCCCTCTTCTATATGAGGAAGAGAACTCCTGGAGACAATACTTGTCACTGGAAACTCTTATCTGTATAATAAACCTTACTAAACAACCCTTACTTACCATACATTTCCTCATTTCCTACTCACCTCCCCATCGTCATTTTATATACTCGACCCTGCAAGAAACCTCAAGCCCTCTTTCCTTGGTCTAATCTTTTCTCCATACCTTATCTTTCTTGTTAAGATGATAGCTAAGCTCCAAATTCTGGTCAGGCAGTGGCTCATGCCTATAATCCCAGCACTTTGGGAGGCTGAGGCCAGCAGATCACCTGAGGTCAGGAGTTCAAGACCAGCCTGGCCAACATGGCGAAGCCCATCTCTTCTAAAGATACAAAAAAATTAGCTGGGCATGGTGGCAGGAGCTTGTAATCCCAGCTACTTGGGAGGTTGAGACAGGAGAATCACTTGAACCTGGGAGGTGGAGGTTGCAATGAGCCAAGATCTGGCCTCTGTACTCCAGCCTGGGTGACAGAGCAAGACTCTGTCT